TTAAGAAATCAGGGATCACAGTTAAGCCCATGGATCTGTTCATATGTATTTTAAGAAAGTTGCAGCTAGGATTTTGGTCAGTGTATTCTGTGTTTGAATGGTCAAGCTTGTCACTTTCAGTATTCCTTGGGAAAAGAATTATTAAATCTCAGTTTATGGGTGTTATTGTTATACTAAAAGTCATCTCGATTTCAAAAAACTTCCTGAAATTTTAAGGTCCTCCAGAGTATTAAAAAAATTTGCATAGTTCAGATGAGTTGTGGTTTGTTGTTTGGTTTGGTTTGGTTTGGTTTTTTTTTCCCGCAGAAAAAAGCTAATGAAAGAGAAAGTATGAATGTAAGGCCATTCAAATTTCCTAATGCCTTATCCATTCCCACTGATGCTTTTCATTCTGTATGAGCCCTTTCCATCCAAATGTATTGCATAGGATAATTTGGGGTGTCCTAATAAACAGATAAGCATCATAATAATATATTTCAGCTAGGAAGAGGTACTTGGAAGAAATTGGTTTTGCAATACACATGATGTGAGACAATCAATAGTGCTTTAGTCTGACAAGCACTGTCAATACCCATTGTCACAGTTCAGAAAGTCATTAATGGGTAGTTCTTCAAAAACCGATGTTTTCAACATGTTTGAAGTGTTCAGATATAGTGCACCTGGCAGGAAGTAATTATAGGTAAACCCTTTGAATTATGTATAAATGTTTTGTAAATTCAGAGTGAAATAAAAGTCATTGGAAGAAATATGAGATCATGTTACATGGAGTTACAAAATCTTTCCAATAAAATATGGAGTTGTTTTAAACATATTAAAAGATTTTATTTTCTGAATCATTCAAGTTCTGAGCAGAACATCACACCCAGGAAAAACAGTCTTCCAGAAATATTTGTCTGCGTACATGACTAAATTCACCAAAAGTCGTCTCATAAAAATTTTGATCCTTCCACTGAGAAGGTTAGATTAGAGCCTTGTCTGGTTCTTTTAGTTGTGGCTATGCCAAAACTCTAGAGAAAGGATTTTGTAACTTCACCTTGCAAAATACGTTAACCAGTGTTTATTCCTGCTTAAATTATGTTTGCTCTCATTTCATTATATATAAAATTTAGTTCACAAAATTACAGCAAGTTATTCTTCACCTGTACATCTCAAAACTTCCATTGACTCTGATGGTACTATTTCTGCAGAACTGTGTGATTTGGAGGTAATGCACTAATTCTTTCTTTCCACTTGTCTTCTTTGTAAAAACCCTTGTACAGACTTTATTTTTGTCATTTTACGTGATACTCCTGTATTTATATGTTATTAGGAATATTAAGGTTAGAGTTGCAGCACTAAGTATTGAAAGGATTTATATAGATCAAAAAAAGACAGGTCAGTTTTTCTTTGCACATTTTTTTTTTTCCCAAGAATTTAGCCTATAGTTATCCTTCCTGATTCAGCTAATGTTATTACAGTGTTATCCAACATTAAGGGTCAAATTTGTTGTGTGTTTATACGTTTTCTTTTTGTACTCAGTCTCTATTGCACTTCCCTAATGTGATAAGCAGTTGTGTTTTCATGTATATTAATTCTACAGTAAATTGTATGAGGAAAAGATCTTGTCCTTTTTTTCATTCATCCCTTCATATCTCTCCCACCTGTGGAAAAAATAGAGACCTAATAAAGTGACCAAAGTCACCATAAACACTTTTCTGGGTATCAGGGTCTGACTTTATTTCCAGCCAAATATGGAAGTCAACCAGTATTCAGGTTACATTTCTGGTGTTGGATTGAAGTGTCCTTGCATTCACTTGCACTTGCAGAAGAAATTTAGCATAATATCGGACTCTGTTGTGTTCCCTCTACACGTACAAAAAGCCCTGGCCCCAGCCAGAGCAAGCACGTGTTTGCTTTTTCTGTCTCAGAAGCTCTTAGTGCAATATAAGAAGTACTTAAATGAAGAGCATGTGCGAAGGGAGGGAAATTATCTTTCTGTTCTATGTTGGTTTTGAAGCATTAATGTGAATATGTCAGTGTGTGTAGCTTTAGAAATTGAGGGCATCAGATTATTCAGTATAATGAATCAAATGGCACACCTATGCAGTGTATGCAAGGGAACACACAGTAGAAAAAACAGTAGATTTTATTTCCTATTATTTCATACTTAAGTCCTTAAGTGTCCTCTATAACATCTGTATGGAACTGCTTTCCACCTTTTTATGTTTATCTTTTGCCAGCTCTCTTTCATGGATGATTCAGCCAGAACCTGAAATTTAACCTGAAATTTAAAAAGGAAGGTACTACAGAAATGTAAATTATTGGGTTTGAGTTTTATAACTACTTTTTTAATTATTATTTGGAAGCAACATTTGGTCATCCTTGTATTTCCAAATGTAATAGCAAAACCATTAAATGTGGGGATATCGCAAGAAGAATGGTTTGGCAAGAGAAGGAATATTTCTAAATGAGATCCCAACAAGAATATTTCTGACAAAGCTTGGTTTTGGAACATGCTATCTAAATCCTTGAATTTCTGGAAGGCTTGGAGTTTCCCTCTGGTGACTCACACATGCTTAATATAATAAAATAGGAAATTCATTGAAATTAACTTTACTGCTGCTTTTAATTATGTGCTATACAACTCAACATGGAATATACAAAAGTATCCATGACAATAATTATTCCTACCTCTAGATGTAGTTTTAACACCATAATTGCTGTTTCAGGTATAAAACTTCCAGCTGGGTTAATACATCATTCTAAACAGAGGGATCTTACCATTCACTGAATGACCACATTCACTTCAGTTAGAATATCTTAATAAATCTGGTGTATAATCAGAGCTAAGCACTTAGTTCAAGTGGGCATAAAATGCTTCAGAGTCCTGCAGAATGGGAAATGTGGCAGGCACATTAAGTGGCTTAAGAGATGCTTTCACTCCTGCATCATTTGCACTGAGAAAGCTTCACTGTAAGTTTGGAAAAAGCAAACCTAAATATGAATCACTATGGACAGAATGACCATAAGCAACAAGTGAGTCCCCAAACTAAATACAATTCACTTCACTGTTTCAAAATACCATTAAGATGCAGAATTAGAAACATCCATTTGTTGTTCCTTTTATAGCACAGCCAAGTGGACTTGGAATTTTAGCTTGCTCCTGCCAAGGATTGCTCAATTTTGAACAAGAAGTCCTCCACTATAATGTTAAAAAAGCACCAACCATCAATTGAATGCTAATCTTTACAGTCTATGATACATCACTCCAAGAATGCTACCATTAGAAAATGTGAATTCTATTTTTCATAAGTGATGGATTATTGTACCAAGCTGTGTATTTTCCAGTAAAGTGTCCTTTTATTTGTTCTGTGTGATTACTAGTTTGTGGAAGTATGTGTGGGGTCATTTTAGTGCTGTGGGAAAATGAAACACTCTTCTGTTAAAATCAGTAGTGAAATCAGAAGCAAACTATGCTCTGATCATCATAGGCATGTGTTTAAATATTGCTTTCCTTAATTGGTTATGTTCTATTTACTTAAAATGAACAATTTGGCAAGTTTTTCTCCCTTGACAACAGCAAAGCGTAAACGATTTTTTAAGTTTGGCTGTTAAAATCAGATTCATAAGTAAACCACAATATTCCAGGGTTGTTACTGTTGCTTAACCAGTTATTTTAGCTTGCCATTGTTTTTTAATTGTGCACCTTTAAACATACTGGTTCTGTTTATAACTTATGCAAAACTTCTTGTTACAAAATGGCCCAATAATATTGATCATAATTTTATTTTTGCTGTCTGTCTACCCTTAGATTCTCTATATGATCACTTCATTATAGGCGAGATTCAATCTGAATGTGGAGATTAGGGAACATCTCTGTAACTGCAGCTAAATTATCCAGGGTGTTATTTAGAAATTCTGTTGAAAGGACAATGGGCCGACTCCTGCAAGTCCAACTTGTGGACAATGCTGTGTTTTGTCGGATTGATTGATCGATTGATTGATTTTCAAGAGAAGATGGAAAGCTATTATTTTCCACAGAAAGCAGAAGTGTCTCTGTCAGCTGGAGGTCCTTGCCAGGGAAGGCAGGACAACTCTGGTTCCCCATTAGCACACTCAGCGTTTGAGGGAATGGGCAGGGTGAGAGCTCAAGGACACACAGGACAAAGGTTATTCAAGGGTGGTGAGGCTCAAGTGAATTGTTAGCAAACTTTAAAAATCTGATTGTTCAGGGAAATCTTTGAAGAAGGTCTTCCCATGACATTGCTGCTGTTTCTGGAGCATGTTGATTTCTCCTTCATGCTAATACTGCCTATTTTGGTAGCTGTGATGGTGCCTCGCAAGCACCTCAGCAGAGAAAAAGTTAAATTTATGTCTTCGAAACTTTCTCCAGGGGATTTTCTGCAGCTGGGTTCTATGTCTTTTTGACACAGAGCAGGAATAAATTAATCTCAAAATGTTTCTCAGTTTGGTAAATGCCTAAATATTATAAAATATAATCATTAAGATGGGAATACTTTTCTTTCCATAAATTCATGCATCTCACACACATTTCATAGAATATAGCCATATTTTCTATAGCTGCATTAAATATATGTGTAACACTTAATCCATCTTGGCAAGAGAATTCAGCTCTCCACTAGTGGTGAACCATCTACCCTTTTTCATAACAAGTAGTATATACCTAATAATGCGTAGCACACTGAGTCCAGAGTTTTAGTTGAAAAATCATCCATGTGAAACTTGTGGGATTCATGATAATTTCATGAGTAAACTGGTTGCCATCCAAATACTTATGGGCAATAAATAATACAATTCTGTGACTAACCAGCAGAATGAAGTCATCATGTTTATTCACAAAAGTATTAATCAGACATTTTTCACTATCCAACCATCTACACTGCTGACCTACTCCATGATTTTATTAGGGTGACTATGGCCACTACTTTTTAAGAATAAGCAAACTACTATTAGTTTTAAAATACAATTTCACAGAATCTTTTTCTCTTGATTTCCGTTAGTTTTCAGACTGAACTACAGTGCCTCTGACACAAATGACAGAAACCGAGTTAAAAGCAGATTAAAGAAGTTCATCTCCCGAAGGCCCTCCTTGAAAACATTGCAAGAAAAGGGACTTATTAAAGGTGTGTTGGTTTTATGTACTTTTTCAGAGTAAAAAGAAAAAATTCACAAATTAATTTTTCATTCTCAGTTAAATGAGTAGGTGCATTGGACAAATGCTTCTTAGGTATGGTTTTGTTACTGTATCTCATAAAACTTGCACTGCTGAATTGTAAAGAAAAAATCAACGTATGGTTATATCTGTCTCTGTGCTATATGACTGCTGCTTCAAGTTTTCTGTCTTGGTGTGCAGCATGGTAGAAGCCTCTCCATTTAACACAGGCACTCATCATGCTCATTGCAAATCAACATGCTGCACAACTGAACTTCTTGAGAAAAGAATGTTGATATAGTTTTATATTTTTAGAATCTGAAATAGGAACTTCAGATACTGTGTTGACTGATTTGTTTTCTAGGGTAGACTGGAATACTTTCTGCTGTCTTCTCTCATTATTTTTCTACCTCTCCTATAAAATACATTTTGAACAATTTAAAATACGTGCCAGTGAAAAATAAATGCCCTGAATCTGTTATTTTTTTCCTACTCCAATTTCTTGCTAAGTCAGTCAGCCATCAATTTCACACATCCTTAGAAAATTGTTTCTCTTATGAAACATGTTTGTTAGTTTATCCAAGGAGTGTTTTGTTAAGAAGTTGGTAGTTGACTTGAAGACAGTAGCATTCTGACCACTAATAATGAAGCAAAACCATGTTTTCAAATATTGTCCTGAATAATGCTTTAAAAATTTACGCACTCCCAAATTATTATGTGTGAAACCCACAACTGCACATGCAAATTGACTAGAAAGAGGCATTTTGCCAGCAGTCCCTGTCAATCTCTGGAGTGTGAGTTTTCCAGTGGTGTGTCAAAAATGGCAAGGGGTGTTGCTAGTGTATATTAAACTTGTCTGTACTAAGCCAAGAGATTGACCCCAGCCAGCAAAAGCTAAAGCAGTCACAAGAGTTAAACACCAGCTGGGCCCATGTCTGAAGAGAAGAAGAAGATTTTATGAACTAAGTTCTTATGTTTTAATAAATGCAGAAATGTTCAGTGCAATGGTGCTTAGTGTAAGGGAGTCTTCATTATATGAAATCATTTTGTGCCTTGGTGATGGGCTTCTGCTTCTAACTGCCACAGAAACTTAAAAAAAAAAAAGTTATTTTTAAATAAATAATGTGTGTGAGGTGTGCACACTCACACAACAAGCTTTCAGGATCTATTTTTACACATTCATAATATCTGATTTCAATACATTTGAGGGTTTTGCCTCTTTGAAATACTCTCTGGGTTGAGGGCAGGATTTGAATGCACCATGTTTGTTTCAGTTATTACAGTAATAGAAAAGTAATTTATAGTCTTTTAATTTCCGGATTTAAGGGTTGTTTTTTTAGTTTAACAAAGTGTGGCTGATGAATCTCCTGCAGTGTTACACAGGGATCAGATGTGATCCCTTTTAACAAACCTAGATTAATTAGCATAACTCAATTCCAGCCTCTAATATATCTCTCTAGGAAAGACACATGAATTTAGTTTCGGCTGCAGTTGCATTAAGCTCTTGATTCGTAAGCATAGCTTGGTTCCACCTGGGATACTCGTCCATGGATAATGAAGGTGTATGATTTGTGACACAGTAATTCAAAATCAGTACCTGGCACAGTTTTGTTACCAAACTAATGTCACCATGAAGAAAACATGTTAGTTGTCTGCCATGAAGTTTCAGTAGGTTTAGGTTCTGGCCATGCAAATGAGGCAGGATTCTTTAGCACGGCTCACTTCCAATCATAAGTCTATGTGGTAAGGTTCCTTCATTGTCTTCGCTAGAGTTTGCCCCTTAATTTGTTAAAATGTTAGGAAAATGCAGTTGCAGCACTTATATAGAGCCCACTTTTAAATATTAATTTTTAGGCTCCCATTAGAATATTTTTAAACCACAAAATGCAACCATCCACCTTAAAGAGGAAAAGCATGTCAAATTCTGTATTATAAGATGCATCTTTTTTTTTTTTTTCTAAAGATGATGTAAATAGTTGCAGAAACCTCTTGAAACTATTTATTTGCTCCTTGCTTAACGGAAAAAGTGTTAACCAGTTTTTACAAGAAAAAATTCCTTCAGCTATGAGAACATACATACTAACTTTTATCCCACAGGGAAACACTTCTGTCAGAATTGTAAATCCCTTAAAATACGGGCTTGTAATAAAAGTGTGTCTAAAACCTTGCAGGACATCTTGGTACTGAATTTCTGACAAAGAGCTGTTCTGTGTGTTAGTGAAGAATTTATATAAATATCAGTGAAGTGTGTGGTGTTAATTGCTCCGATGCAGTGGCACTGTAGGTGCTGTGGAAACCTTCACTTTTCATCAAGTGCTATTCATATTTGCCAGGGGCACTATAAAGCTCTCAAATCTATATTGATTTTTTGCATTGTATGTCACATAGGAACCAAAATTCCAATAAATTTAACACATAAATTATGGTCATGGATAAATACATTTTAAGGTGGGAAGTTCACTTAAACACAGTTCTGTGCACTGTTAGTCACTGATGTGTACGCGCTTGGCCAGAAGACTCAACATGTTTCTCCACATCAACCGAATTTGGGAATACAAGCTTCAAAATTAAATAGCAGTTTGATCTCCTGGGGTACTTTGTTCTGCCAACACTGTTATCAGAAAATCTAGAAATTACATGATTGCCATTTAACTCTCTACAAAACTTTGTTTATCTAGAATGTAGAAAATAAAGTAGGTAGTTGGTAAATGAGAAGAATAAGTAGTAAGGGGATAAAATCAGACAAGAGAATGTAGCAGACCAGAGTGTAGATGTTAGTTACATGCTGATCCAAAAATGAAGACACGCTGATGCTTTACATGACAAAAAGTTATTTTTGTCATCACTGTCCCATTTGCTTTCTAGTCCTCAGCATAAAAGAAACCAGAATGGGAACAGCACATTGACTCCATTCATTGTGATGAGCTGCTAACTGGGTTTTTCCATGCTCCAGTGAGAGCTCTAGTGAAGATCGTCAGCCCTTCTCATGCTTAAACAAAATATCTTTGGTATGGAAGCATTTTGAACCATTTCTGAGATGATGTATAATACCGTATTTTTGTGTTATATGTCTATAGTCTATATGCAGACTTAAATTCATATATATACACATGCATGCAAACCTAGAAATATTAAATAAGAAATGTGTTCCATGTCTGCTATTTTAATAGTATTATTTTGAGAATAACCGTGTACAAATTTATATGCTAGGTCAGGGGACCTCAGTTCCTTGGGATTTAAATATTAGAATTTACAGAATCTGCACTAATACACTAGAAAAATAATATATAAATCTTCTCTTTTAAAACTGCTTTATAGTCTATAATTGAACTTTCAACTTTGTGTTCAAGCTTTGTCATGATTTAATATTACCCAAAATGAATTGCCAACCTTCAACTTGGTATTGGCCTGCTAACTTCCTGATTTCTGAGCCTTTCTATTCCACAAATAAAAAAGAAAAAAAGTTTTTGTGAAAATGTGATTTTAAAGCTATGGTTGTTATGTTGGTAATAGACTATCACAAAATACACTTTCAGTAAATGGTAAAAAAACATGAGTAACAACATAAATGACACTGTGGGAAATAAGGAAAATGCAACTATGCAGCTGGCAAGAAATTTATCTAAATTTTTGGGTGGTGGATTTCTTTTTCCCCCAAAATCTAAGCACTGATGGAACTTCACTGGGTCTATTTTTTAAGTTAAGTTGAGGAAAACCCAAAACAGCATAAAAGTTGGAATGCTTACAACTATTTCAAGGTTAAAATACAAGCCACTCAATTGTTAGTGAAAGGAACTAGCTGTGATTTGGCTTGATAGCCTATAGAATGAAGCTCAGCATACGTTGGTGGCTGTGCAGGCAGCAGCACAGAGATCACCAACCATGTTGATTCCAGACAAGAGAAAATTTCTTTACTGTCTCATAAGTTTCAACAGACCTTGGAGTAGTTCAATGTAATAAGTGTAATGCTCATAAGAAGTCATAGAATCATAGAATGGTTAGAGTTGGAAAGCACCTTAAGATCACATAGTTCCAACCCCTGTACCATGGGCAGGGACACCTCCCACTAGACCAGCTTGCTCAAGGCCCTGTCCAATCTGGCCTTGAACACTGCCAGGGAAGGAGCATTAACCACTTTCAGGCAACCTGTTCAGGTACCTTATCACCCTCACAGTAAAGAGCTTCTTCCTTATATCTAACATGAATTTCCCCTGTTTAAGTTTAAACATATTACCTCTTGCCCTATCACTACAGTCCCTCTCCAGCATCCCTGAAGGCCCCCGTCAGATACTGGGGTCTCCACCCAGCCTTCTCCAGGCTGAACAGCCCCAATTTACTCAGCCTGTCTTCATACAGGAGGTGCTCCAGCCCTCTGAACATTCTTGTGGTCCTCCTCTGGCCTTGCTTCAACAGCTCCATGGTCGTCTTATGTTGGGAACACCAGAACTGTACACAGTACTCCAAGTGGGGTCTCACAAGAGCAGAGTAGAGGGGGAGAACCACTCCCCTTTACCTATTGGTCATCTTTTGATGCAGTCCAGTATACAGTTGGTTTTCTGGTCTGTGAGCTCATGCTGCTGGCTCATGTTCAGTCTCTCATTTACCAACATCCACAAGTCCTTCTCCACATGGTTTCTCTGAATCACTTCTCTGCTCACCCTGTAGCTGTGCCTGGGATTGCCCCATCCAGGTGTAGGACCTTGCACTTCCCTTTGTTGAATTTCATGAGGTTTGCTATGGCCCACCTCTCCAGCCTGTCGAGGTCCCTCTTCATGGCATCCCTTCCCTCCAGCATGTTGAAGTCTAAAAAAGTAGATCAATGTGTTCTGTAATTCTTCTGGGTTATGAAGGAATTTAACAAGTCATGTAGTGCTCATAATAGCTTATGGAAAATTAGGAAATATTTCCTTTGTCTTTCATAGACAAAGACGTTTCTTTCTTTGGCCACTACCTGGATATTTGGAAGGACATTTCCCAAACCCAGGACAAATGGATTTTTTCCTTCGACATGCTGGTCAGAAATAATTCAGATAATTGTAAAATATCTCATTTCTGGAGACCTGTTTTAAGGAGTTGTCATGTTTTAAACCCAGCAGACTCACTCTCTTTGAATTCAAATGAGCTATTGTCCACAGCAAAACACCATAATTTCATAAAAAGAGACCAGTGTCTGTAAGTATTCTCTATTTTCCCTTCTTCTGAGAATGTGAAACAGATCTGGCAGCTCACATGCCACTTAATAGTAACAGTTCACAAACTTAATTTTTTTTTCTTTTTAATTGATGATCACCACAGATCAACGATGTATAGTAAATCTCCAAGTTAAAAGGACTGGCAAGACTCCCAGCTAGCATAAATCAGAGGATCTCCACTGACAACCACGCCATCTTCAGCCGTCTGAGGACCTGGCCCACTTATTGTAAAAGCATTGTGGCATTATTTGGAGCCCCAGTCTGGAACCAGCATCGTTTTAATGTCTGACTTAGAATGTCTGACTACAGATTGGGCAGCTAGAAGATGCCTTTCAGAATATGGCCCTTTCCACCTACATCTCTTGCCCTTCCAAAAAATTCACTGCTGTGGAGCCTACTGTTTTGTACCTCCCTCTGTACACTCCTCTTATTTTGCTTTCTAGTTCTCTTTCCCCTTTTCCCTCTTAACATTCAAACAGATACAAAGAAAACAAAAAACTTAGACACTGATACAAAGCTCTGGTAGTCCAGCAGTTCAAATCCAGATCTAGCAGAGTTAATTTTGTTCCTGGAAGACACTGAATTACACAGATATCATTCACATTTCTAAAAACTTGGGCATTACACTGCTATACCTTCCCCTCTCATGTCAGAATCTGAGCTTCTACATGAGAAATGGGAATATTAGCCATATCCTTCCTATTTTTTTTCTAATAAAAAACACTGAAGCATGAGTTCCTTCCAAGTGTGGCCACATCTCATCCATGTACACCAAAAAAAGTTAAACAATGACATTCTCGGTAAGGATGTGGGTTTAGTGATTTTGTTTTAATTGTTTCTTTTCCAGAAGTATTGTCTCTCTCAGACAATATTTCTGCAGCTCAGAATTAGTGGCTTTGCTACAGCCTGCGAGAGCTACTTAAAAAAAGTAGCTCTGTGAGGCTCAGGGAAATCTTGGTGCTCACCAGAACGAGCAATACATTGCAGCTGTAATCATCATCTTATATTATACAGCTTGCAAATGTCCATTCTCTCCTCTTTTGGTGTCTCATATCCATGTGCAAAGCTGTGACACACCCCACCATCTTAAATAGAAAGTTTAATACGCAGATATCAGGGATGTGTAATGTAAACCATACCACCAAACATATTATGAATATATTGCTCTTCTTAACAATACTTGTTGTTTTTTCATACTACAGTATTGACTAGCTGTCTGTGTTTGATGTATGGTTTACTAGCCTGATGTAGACTTATGGTTAGAGCTTAACTTGTTAGTTCTGCTTTTGCAGCCAATTCAGAATAACTACAGATGCCCCAAGATATTAAAATTGACTGCTCAAATGGACTCAGTGTGGGAGTTTCATTGGTTTTAAATTGATAACAGCTGAAAGAGTGAATGATTAAAGCTGTATATGGGCATAGTATGCAGCTCTTTTGTACAAGCTCTTATAAACAGAATCCACTGTATGGGAATTGCCTTTGTTCTAATAAAAGATATTTCTGAGCAATTGTTAGTTCAAATTTTTAAATGATGAAACAAGAACATTTCAGGAGCCTATAGAGGAAATAATTCCTGAGAAACTGGAATAACTCTGAGAAGATAAAGTGGATTTCTATTCAGAGGGGAGCATTTAAAGTTAAGTAGCATTCCATAAGGTGGTAATTGTGTCTATTTCCCAGGCATTTGAGTTAAATAAGCTGGATAAGAAACATAAACTGTCATAACAGGAGGTTAGGAGTGTTGTGTACATCTTTTTTTCAAGTAATAAAAAATGAAGTTTTGAAGGGCCCTATCACAGATAAATCAAAGGCTTTTCTGCTTCTTTTATCCCTTTGGAAACAGTTCTTATTTTTTAGGAAAAAAAATAAAATATACTGGATAGTTTCTACTTAAACTAGTTTTTAAATATATATAGACACACTTATAAAAGACCAGGATAATATTTTAATCTTAGTTACACATTAATCTAGTTTACCGAAGTTAGCAATTTGCAATTCTTATAATTCCTTATTTTCAAATTACTGCATAAACAAGTCTCAGCTGAGTTTTCGTCAGCTATCCCTCTAAGATTGTAAATATGGCAGTGTAACTACTGCCGTTCCCATATTTATGTATAGCAACAGATACAGAAATAAATCAGTAGACTAGAGAGAGTCACAGAATTTGAGGTTCAGGAGTACCCAGAATTCAGAGTACTTGAATGTCTCATGGGATCATGTACTTATAAATATTCACAAATTTCTAGAAGGGGGAAAAATAGTCCAAAGCAGTTGTGTGTCAATATTTTACCATAGTCTCTTCTGATAGCCAGCAACTGTTAATGCTGATTTGCTGCCATTTCCATTCAAGACAAAACTCGAGCACCAGTCTTCTAAAGAATAGGCATTTTAAAGCTTAACTGCAGGATACAGAATGTGACTATACCCATGTACTGAAAAGTATATAAAATGAGGTTAAACATTTTGGTGAAGATACAGAATCTACACCAGAAAAAAAGTAATGAACTGGGTGAGAACTGCAAAACAGTTTCAGTATATCCTCACTCAAATACTGAGTAACCTGCATTCATACCGGAGATTGAAAGAGTAACTGCAAAATAATCCTAGAAGTTGGTTATGTAGTGGTTATAATAGAGAAGAAATGCTGCTGAAGATGCATACATTAATTTTGTTTCAGTTGTTCATGTATTGCCATCTACACAATGCAGCTCTTTGCCTGTTTTGTTTCTGAAATAGTTTACAAGTGTCTTTGTCCACCAAACAAGATACATTTTTATTCTTTTTAATGTAATTTACACTGGGAACCATTCCATGTTATGCAAAGAATTTGACAGGTCTTTGCTAAACTTTTAAAAAACAATTAAGATGTCAAAAGAGGAAGAGCTAGTACATTTTAATCATAAATCTCTGTATATATAATTACCACTGAAGGCAGCTATAAATGTTTTCTGAAGAAAATGTAACCAGACTGTGCTTTGTCAGAAACATAACCCCAAAACATGTAACAGACTGTTCGCTAATGCTTAACGCCACACATGCACATAACCTTCTTCAGTGTAGTTCTGTGAACCCAGTTCTCCAACCCTTCTGCAGCCGAAACTCCAACTAACTTAAATTGAGGCTTTAATGTACTCTACCAGAATGCAGATCACATGCACTGGGAGATGCTGGAATAAATTCCTCAATACATATCAAAAAGTTCAAATCATTCCATGCACCCCACCTTGTTTCTCTGATTGTTCCCTACTCTCGGGTATTAGGAAACAATCCTGAGCAGTGTACTCTAGGTGACTCTGCTCTCCCTGAGCAGGGAGGTTGGACTAGATGACCTCCAGTGGTTCCTTCTAACCTCAATTATTATGCGATTGTGTGAAAGAAAAGGTAATCAAGTTGCTATTGAAATCTAAGCTTAATAAGAAATGGTAGCAATTAACAATAGAAAAATAAAACTCTTTGTAAGGAAGAAAGTAAACAAATGGTTTTCTGCCTGTTAGTGAGAAAAAGGTATGCTGCTTGGAGGAAACAGTACTCAGATTGCTCATGGTAGAAGACAGTGGGGCTGACTATGGAGGAAATATCCTGTGCCATGAGAGCTGTAGGATTGTTGGATTCACTGTGAGGAGTCCAGGCTTGTGCTAGAACCCTTCCGCTACCTATACAACCATTTTCGAAGCCTCTATGTCAATTTCCAAACTGTAGTACTCTGTTGAAATGCTATATGGAGGCTCTTTGGATAAATGATGATACTACACTCCTCTTGTTTCAGCATTTAATTGGCTCCTATTGAGCAGTTTCTCTCATCTGTTTGATTCATTTTGATTCTAGCTGACTGCGTCTCCATTACTGGTTGCTCTTTTCATAATTTCTCAAACATATAGAGTGGAAATGAGGTGGAGGAAGCTAATTAGTAATCTGAAAAGTTTAACCTGTTTATACAAATATGTTTTAAGATCAATATTCGAAGTTGATCAAAACTTTAGAATCATAAAAACTAAATGGTAACATTATCTAATTAAATGATTATTCATCAAAGAAACAATTTAAATCACAAGTTGAACTTGGTGTAAGACATTTGGTTCTGTGGCAGAAACTAATGACCAGCAGGACTCAAGAAAGGCTCGTTTCCAACTTTGTCTGTCCATCTGTGATAACTGAGCTTTTAATTAATACGCAAGCTCTGAAAAGTGAAAAATCCTACTACTAATAATATGCCTTAATGTATTTTCCTCTTTTTTTTCCCAAATGTAGACCAAATTTTTGGCTCCCATTTGCACTTGGTGTGTGAGCATGAGAAATCTACAGTCCCCCAGTTTGTAAGACTGTGTATAAAAACTGTTGAAAGAAGAGGTGAGTACCTAAATGTTTAACACTATTTTTTTTCTCTGCTAGTGATCAGGACTTCAACCTTGTAACTCTGATTGAATTGCCAGGATAGGCAGGCTCTTGAGTTTATAATATAGTTATGAACTGAACTATATCACATTTTGTATGTTCATTTTCTTAATAAAAACTAATATAACTCATTCATGCTGATGATTCCTTATATTTTGTTTGACATGTGGTTGGTTTAGTCATTTTCCAGGTAAGCAAATGCTAAACATCAATAAAATGTCAGTAACATTCACTCTGAAGTCTTTGCTTAGTGTCATTGCCAATACTTTTTCCTAAGTCCTGAATTATATTCATCCAAAATAAATGTTATTCTAGTGTGACCATATTTTTTTAATGCATGCAGGTATTTAATTTTTACAGTTATTTGAAAAAGCTATCATATTGTAAGAACATTGGAGTGAATATTCACCCTCATTAAAAGCTTTGATTAATAAGAAGGATTTACATAGTATAGAAAAGATGTACTTAACACCATTGCCTGCCTTCCTTTCTGCAGAGTGTATCTTCTCTCATTGAAGGTCACTTTCTTTGGAAGGTACATGCGGTAGATGCAGAATCTTAAAATGTATTGTATAAAAATGTGTGGCTTCATCACCATCTGTTACAAGTTTACAACTTGTTCCAGGGATCTGGGGAAACATATATCTTGCAAAAGATAGAAAATTTATTTTCAGAATAAGGCTGGGTGAACCCATTGTCACTGCCATATACAGGAGTCTCAGAACAAGGGAACCAATGAAAAATAAAAACATGCTTAGACCGTTAACCACAAAGGAGAAAGCTATTTTAATTCCATCATTGTTACCTGGTTTTATAGTGAAAGGTGTAATAAAACTACCCTGAAGTTTCAAACTCTGGGAAATTCATGTTTTAATTATACAGCAAAAGAGAGCACTGGGATATTATTATTCCCAGAATGATTGACAGGAAGTCAGAGACTAACAAACTGGAGATCGTTCAGTAGGGGGAGATAGTAGCATTGGTTTTCTGGAGGAAGGCTGGAGTCTGGATAGAGACAAAGAAGGGGGAGAAACATGTGAAGTGACTATTAATAGAGGAGAAATTGTGAGGAGAAATTCAGAACATGAAAAGATGAGATTAGATTATAGACGGTTATGATCTTAGCACACATTCTCCAAAAGATGCACTAGATATTTCATAGATGTATCTAAGCACTCTTCTAGGAGAATTGAGGCCAGAGATCTCTGCACTGCTGAACAGTAATAGAAAAATCCAAGACATCTAAGTAAATGTTTATTGCCTGTGTGATTATCAGAGAAATGTTCATGGAAGAAAATAAAAATACCACTGTTTCTTCAATGGAAATCATCCTTTGGAGTATTGTATTATTGTTCTGGTGTTTCCTTCAAATTTGCTGTGACTTAGAGATGTCTACCCTTTTTAATTAGTCTAATATGTAAATAAAAGCTAATCATAAGGCAAGAGATAAGAAATTCATTTTATCACTGTATTTATGAGTTTATATTTGATACACAGTTTTTTCTATTATCGTTTTCTTAGATTAAGATACTTGCATTTACTCACATTTTATTTACTCAAAGTGTTGTTTTTACTAAGTTCTGGCATAAAGTATCTCAGGACAGCAGTAATTTATGTGAAGCTAAGTCCAATGTTTATGCAAGCTTCTGATGACATTTTATACCGGGGTTGGTATTAGAAAGCAGTATGTGGAGGTGCCAAGTCTCCCGGCATGGCTGAGCCTCAACAGATCTGAAGCCCTCCTCTTAATGGCCAGATATGCCTCCAGCCAAGATACTCAACTGCAGAGTCATGGGAAATACTTATGTACCAATTATGGGAAAGGCACATTTAATGAAAACTGTATGTTTACTTTCATAGTCTTAGTAAGATGGCCTAGATACTCAGTACAGCTGGCATATTGGCTGTTGTAGAAAAGCTTTTTTTTCCTATTTAGAAAATACATCAGCTACATACTGTAACTGTACCAAAAATGTTACTGGTATGCTTCATTTAAGTTATAGGGTTATTAGGAAAAAAGACCTTAGAAGAAATAACCCTAAATGTTACTTACAAAACATTCTCGTTTTGCTGAACGGTTATGTTCTTATTTATTAGCTCATGGTTTCAATTACTTACCTATCGATTTTCTATTTGTTTTTCTGATTTTTAAAGCATTATCACTGTGCACAGAAAGTCTAGCAGTAATACAAATAAACCGTATTAATTATTACATTTTCTGAGTACATGAGGTTACATACAATAGCCAACTGTAGTAACATTCTCCCACAGATTAAAAAAGTAGAGGTCGTTATTAACTGTTGGCAAGATTTCCTGTTTAGTTACACTATTTTTAAATTAATATCTACATCAAAATCAAAGGAATTACTCTGAAGTTAGTTTGCTGCAACTTAGATCAGATTTTGTTCGTTTATCCTCTAGGCTGCTGGTTGCTTATTCACAGTTTCAGAACAGTGGTGCTTTATAAGGCTTGGTTTAAAAATTCTCACACCGTAATGCATATTTATCTATCCAACTAGGATTCGTTTGCTCAAGAGCAAATTCCATTTTTTCAGCCTCTTTTGGTACGGGAAGGAGAATTCTTATTAATTAAATTCTACATTTATTCAGCCATCTTGCAGGGCTGGTAGTGGAGTTTAATAAAGAGAGTTAATAAAAATGTGTCTATTATTGTAAAATTGCAAGACAATTGTCACTTTTTTTTTTTTAAATCTCAGGGTTTTTTTTTCTTCCTGTACTATTTATTCATTCATGCTGTTTAATCAACCTCTTGTCCTACACAGCTATACAGACCTGTGCCACTGGAGTCAATAGTATTGTACCCTTTGTATCTAATGCAATATCCTAAATAGCAAAAACAAGTCCTATGATGTTACCCTCTGAGGATAAGAGAATAATTCTGGACTATGCAATGACCAGATCAAAGAAATACAATGGCTACTCAATGATTTCTAGTGTTTCTTCACTTTCTACCTTCTCAGGGACTTGGAGACAAAGTTTTTCATGGAACAGTATATCTGTTTTTTCTTTGTAGTCCTTTACTTTGCCATCAACACCTATCTTGAATGTACTTCAGGCTTTTCTGGGGCTATGTGCTGACCTGCCTTTTTTCATCTCTAGTCCATGCTTTTTCTTCTCCCCAGAAAGCATCTTACAGGTTGTGCCAACCCTAAGCTGAAAAGTGCAGCAAGGAAAGCCTGGGACAACCTTCCTAGAGTACTGTAACTCACATACTGTGCACTCCTGCCAAGGGTGGGGCCCATTGCAAGATTTTTGATGTTCCTAGGCAAGATATTATTTCCAGTCATTTCTCAAGTTGCCTATTTATTTTGTTATACACGACCCTTTAAAAGTCCTGGCTGGTTTTTTGCCTTTTTTTTTTTTTTTTTTTTTTAAATATGTGAAAGGCATGAGTAGAATGCATTAAAAAAAAAAACAAAAAAACCAAAAAAAACCAACAAAACCAAAGAAACAAACAAACACAAAAAACCCCCAAAACCAAAACAAACCCCAAAATATCAGTCTGCATTGCATCTAAACAAAATGGCATCCAGTACTTCTCATAGTAATGTTTTATCGTGTGAAAACAGACTTACTGTTTTCTAGGGATGATCATTTGTCTGCGTGTCTGATGACAGAGTAAATGAACACCCCGAGCAGTCAGTATCCTAAACCTATTGAGGGTATCCAGTGTAGTCTAGGTTTTGTAAAGAAATGCAGTACTAATGCTCCAGGGAAATATAATTTAACTTTCATTTCTTTTTCGAAACATCCTTCATTTTCTCCTTCCATTCCCAAATCCAAGTTAGTGTTCTCAAATCAGCAGAAATTACTTGAAAAATGACACTGCAGACAGTAAAGCTGATGATTACAGGTACCGTTTCCATTCTAAACTGGACATTGCAGACATTGTTTTCTGTTGCTTTTCTTGGAGCACAGGATGCTCTGACAGGAATGATACACAAAATTACATATTTGATTCAGTGCCTAAAAGCCACCCTGGGATCCATAACCTTGCTTAAAGATTTAAGAAAGACCTCTAGTCCACTTCTGAGAAGGTTCTTAACTTAGAAAACTTTATCTTTCAACTTTACTTCTTAGCAGCTGTTATGTTTTTTTGCTGTCGTTTGTTTGACAGGATCCAGTTATAGGTTCCGATGTCTGTATAAAGAAACAGGGAGGTTGTTGGCTTTAAAAATCCCTTACTGCTTGTGTGTTCAACATTTTCCCAGGCTTTTCTACATAGTTTGCCAAGTAAAGGGACTGACCTTTTGTAGCAAACACTTTTTCATTTCTAAATGCTCACTTTGATTTTTGTCCCATTTTATGCTCATTCCAAACTGTTTACAACCCACTAAAAATGACTGTGAATTATATGTTTGTGTAATGGATTCCTTTTGTGGTTGGAGTGGAATGTTTACTTTGAACAATTAGTTATCTTTGGGCAGATTATAGTGACCTGAAAAAAGAATGGCTAAAATTATTATAGTACCTTAACTGTTTCCTTTTGTTATCTTCTCTGTTTGTCCAATGTATTATTTACTGAGTTTCATTGCTCTGATCCCCAGTGAACAAATCTTGTTAGATAAAAGCAGCAACAAAAAAACCCTGAGCTTAGGGCTCTCGGTCTGGGGCACTGATCTGCTGGAGTAGGACTGGATATGCCAGTGAGACTTCAGAAGTGACCATTAGGCACTTTAAAAGCTGGGTGTGCAATTTTAAGAAGACATGGTTTCAAAAGAAGTTTTAAGCGCTTGCTCTCTGAAAGTCAGATTTTTTTATAGGTGTCCAAAGTTTGACACCCTACAGCACCTAAAATCAAGACTTAGTTTGGCTTTAATGTCCATAGCTGTGATTTGATTATATAAAATATCATTGCAGACATGCACAGACACAAAGTCTCATACTGCAGGATAGTCAGCGTTTAAGGAAGAAAATGTCTTTATGGGCAAAGA